GCAATGCCTCACATAACAACATTTAAGCCCTTTGTCAAATAACATCAACAAATGCAATGTCCATTTTGATATAAATAATTAAAAACAATACAAAAATAATTGCAACACTGACATGATACAAGTCACTTTCATGGACATATACAAATACAACATGAACAATTGAAATCCTCAGAAATAAGTAGGAAACACAATTACCAACGAGTTGCCCTTGGTCAAGTGGTGCAGAAATTTGGTAAGTTTGGCACTTCGCTACTGCATAGTACTGAGTGTTTAACTGGACCTCACTAGGTGTTCTAACAGAAAAAAAACAACAACCAAAACAAACCACCACCAAAAAGTCAACAAAACCCCCCAAACACAACCAAAACCACATCAGCACACAAGAAACCAGAATTTCAGTATTATATAATTCTTCAATTCTGTTCCAAATATTGGAAGAGTAGCTATGAAAAAGTTTATTTTACTTTCCTTACATTGGCAGAAGAGCTTCAGCACAGAATTCCACCCTGGAAAGCCACAGGCACATGTAACAATGTATAATGATTATTTTATAATAGAATCCTCCACACATAAACTGCTCCAAAAGACATTGTCTGGGAAGCAAAGGTAACTATTCAAGAGCTGGCAGATGTCCATTTGTATTGCCAGTGCAAAGCCCTAGTTCTTTTCCTTTCCTAACACTTATGAACATTCACTGAGATCTTTCATTCTGTGATCGTTATCTTTGTCCAGCACAGAATGCTCCAGAGCGTGCAGTGAAGATACCTTTTGCCTGCAGAGCTAATTCTATCCACGAGCCATGGAGTTACTGAGGCAGGGAACCACAAAAAAGAGATCTCCCAAGTAGTAAAATGGTGGTTTAGGTAACCGGATTATATTCCAGATTTTGTCACAGAATTCTTGTATGATGTTACAAAATCTACTTATACTAATTTTCCATACGGCAATCATTAATAATTGGTCTGTATTTAACAGATTCTTATCTTAATTATATCAATCTGTGACCTATCAAAACTGCAAATTAACTGAAGGGGTGCTTTAGAGTGCATGGTGCTTGTCTCAGATTAGACTTTCTGAATCAATAGACTGATTTTTCGCTTTGAACCATTTTTTCATCACAAATATGAAAAGCCATGTGTGTTTACCACTTAGCTACAGAAGATGACCATCATAAAAAAGCTGAAGAAGCTGCTAATATTTCTAGTTGCAGAAAGTTTTGAATAATTTGTAATTCTGTAATTACATCCTGAATTGTACATTGAGCAACACAAATACAATAATAAACTAAATATATTTTATTTTTCTACACAGAGAAGAGAATCCTGCAGTGGAAAAATGGTGTGTGACAGTAAAAACTGCCATAATATACAAAGACAATGCTACTTCCTGAAAACTGGGTACTTAGCTTCTCAACCTTCATGTCACTCTGTACATGCGATTTCTGAATTTTTTAAAAACATCCTCCACCCTCAACAAAAGAATCAGAAACTCTATGAAAGCACCCAGTGGTGCTCTCTCTGGGCTTTACCAGCAGGATGGGATGTGTATATCTCCTTGCTTGGATCCGCCCCTTGCAGTTAGGGGAGTACTGACAGCATTAGGACATTTTCAGCTTCTGTGTAGGACAGTGCTAGAAGACTTTCATCAATGAGTTTTGCAGACATTTGCTGACAGCACAGCAGTGGTGAAACTCGGTGACTTCAGCTGCTATCTCAGGCCTCACAGTATGACATAGAGACTTGCTAGCAGTTTTTCCGGTCTGTCTTCTCTCTCAGCCTCCTTTTCAGCTGCTCCGTTCCCCACTGCCCTCTCAGTCCCAGCATCCAATCTCTTCTCTGAAACTAGTTCCATCATCCTTCCCTGTTGCTTTGCGGTAGCAATAGCTGTACCATCACATCGTGACTCCCTGTCCCACATTGATCTCCCCTCATTTGCCTTGCTATCTGATCAAGAGTTCTTTCTGAATGTTAATTCTAATAACTACAGAAAAACTCACTAAAAATATGCTGATTGCATCCACTAACACTGTAAAGGCCTGACATCAGCCATAAATTAGAATATTTATCACTCTATCAAACATTGCACAGTGCTTTTTATAGACTACTATAAAGATTTTAAGTGATTTTTTAAAAAGGATGTAGGGTTACGTACCTGTTTCCTGCTACCTACAGTTGCTCATTCTTACAAGGACAAGCTGGCATAAGAGAGAGAGCTTAGATTTTACAGAAGGATAGTATTATTAAACAGTCATTACACAATACATCAGCTTCATTCAAGACTCTACTCACAGCTGTATTTTATGATCAACTACTATAATAGCAAACACAGCTATTCCAAACCCTTCACATTTCACAACAATCCTTTTACTCAAACTTGCAGCCATTTAGAACCCAAAAGTCCTTATGACCATGAACTCCAACTCAGCAAATGAATCATAACTAATTCCATGAAAAAAAAATCCAAACCAACAAAAACTGTAGAGTTCAATAAATATTTCCAAAAAATATTCTTTACAATACTATGGATCCAGGTCACACTTGAATTAATTACAGGCAATTCCCAGAGCTTGTGTCTACAGAGTTCACCACCTGATATTCAGGAAACACGATGTCATTCTCTGCAGCCCTGAAGATAAGTTTGTATTTCTTTCTCCTTTCTTTTTTCAAGAGAAAAGAGTTACAGTGTGATTTTTTTTTTCCATCTAAATAAAACTTTTATATCAATTACAGGTCAAAATTAATTTATTATTGGTATTACAATTTATGAGCACTTAGGTATGAGAATGCTGAACACAACACAAAAAATTTTCTGAACTGTGAAGACTGTGCTCCTTCTCTTTCATATATGGATGCTGTCCACATTAGCTCATATGCAGATAGCTTATCTGCTACAAGAATTGAGAGTCAGAGGATTGAGATTATATGCTCTCCCATACAAGACAGTGAACGTGTGTGTGTGTGTAACACATCATCTACACATCCTGTTGTTTGTTTACCATATTTTACTCATTTATGAGAGAATGCAATATGTTAAGGAAAGGATTAAACAGCTGGAGAAAATAATCATTGCAAATAAATATAGTGCCTTTGTATGTGACCTGAATTTATTGTTTCTATGTTGCAAGATAAGAGCTTTGGAGCACTAAGTTTTTACCTGCAGCAGCTTTATCATTAAGAGTAATCTGCAGGAGTATGTGCATCAGTTGTTGCCACGTAAAGTTACAAGAGCTCAATCTGAGACCTGAAATACATGGACCTATGTAGGAGAGTTTATTTTTGGATTCAGTGAATAATTTATTCAGTTGTATGCTACTTTAAATAAGATGTTGCGTGTCCTTTTCTCAGTAAAGAAAATAAATAGCACAGAGGATTACACAAGCTTTTTGTCTGGGCTCGACATGCTACTACTACTTTTTCCCTTCTTGGTATTTCCTCTTGCCTCTAAACCATTCCTTTTTAAGAAGTTAAAAAAAAAAGCAGACTTTATTTTCCTGTTCTAATATAAAGCCCAAGAAAATTCAACACAATACAGTAAAAAAACCTCTAAGATAAAATAAATACTGTGAGACACTTGAAATCCTTTTCAGACTTTCCACTGACATCACCACTAAGGTGAGGCTTAGGTGAGCTTCAATTCTGTTGCAAAGAAAAACAGAGCATCAGCTGCTGAGAGAGCAGCCGAAAATGGCACATCCGACATGCTCAGTGTTACTAAAATGTCTTCATAGTGTTTTTCAGAAGCTGTGGTTGGCAAGCAACCCTTCCCTCACCATTTAAGGCATGCATCTGCAATGACCACACACTCGTTGACATGTCTGGAGCAGAATCACTTCCACATTGTAAATGGCTCTCTTCCCAACATTAACACAAAAACTTAAACCAGCTTCTGCGCCAAACACTTGTCTGTTTATTCAGGGTGCCACAAAACCACGTGTTAGCAGGCCATTGGGCCTAGCATTAACCACAGCAGGAAAACAGCTGTCACTTTCTTATTAGCTTTTGGAATAACATTATCCTCAAATCTTGGAATTTTTGTGGGATGTTTTCTCCTGAACTCTTCCATGATTTCTGATGAACTTAATACTCCCTGTGTTGATTCAAAAGGCACCTGTTGGTGAGATTTCCTTAAATCATATGCCTCTATAAATACTATCTTACTACATATTAAAACTTATCTATTTTATCACTTCTAAATCCTCATGGCTAAACTGACCAATCTTCAGAAACATCTAAAGTGCTAAATTCAGGAGGCCAAACATTACTGGATTTTGTGAAAGTTTCACATAACCTTGATCCATTAATACCTAGGATAAATAACTCTTTATATATCTCAGATTTATTTCCTTGAACTGCCTTCCCCATATTGAGCACCATTCCACTGTAAACTTCCTGAACTGTAAAGTACATAAGTTGACACTGGGTTGCACTGTTATTATTCCTAACATTTTCTAAGAGTAAAAGTGAGTGTATTGGAAATGTTTATTGCAGCCAGAAATGTTTATTTCTAATTCATTTGACTGGCAGATTAGGACAGTAAAATCAGAAATGCTACTAGCTTGTACTAACGCATATTTCTTATTGCTGTTTCATATCTTCCCCTCAAACCTCAGCCACATTTCATACACTAGACTGCAGGTGTATGGAGGATGTAGAAAATTCTTTCAGTTCTGTTGAGGCAGCACAGTTGAGCACAGAAGTATTAATGAAACTGCAAAAAAGGCCAAGTATTTTCATGTACTTATTGGGTAGTCTTATTGGGTAGTGAAATGAAATGTTATACTTGCACTCACACACACATGACACAGGCATGCACATTCACACAGGTTATTTGGGGATGAGGGAACTTGTATATTGCTTACAAGAGATCTAGGGTAACAATCTCTCACTGCCATCAGGCACCAAGTAAAAAAAAAATACACATAATTTAAAAAAATATCTTTCATTATAATTTAAATTCTTCCAAGAAAGAGTTATATGAATAAATAAATCTTCCAGATACTCTATCCAAAACTCATTAAAACCAAAAGATTTCTCTAAGGTGTATATATGCACATGATTCTGCATTCATTTTAGACGTCTGAGGTCTATCTCAAGAAGATTAAGTAAACTACTGCAGTAGCAACATTGGTCATCTTTCCTTCAATTATGCAAACATATGATTTTAAATCGTATGGTGACAGTCAGCTTGGCCTGTGTTTCTCTAGAAGCGTTAGTTACATTTATAAATGCTACCACTGAGACCTCTAAGACACCTAAATTACTAGGCAAGCTCACTACTGCATTTACCCCTAAGTGTGGAGGATGCTTTGTAACGTGAAGCCTTTCGCAGCTATGGTTCATTTAGCACACTTTCGCATCTCATCTGCTGATGCAGGAAGTAAAAATCTGTCAGTCTTGTCTTCTTGTGTCTCACAAGGACTCGTTGACCAACTTCAGTTATTTCACCCACCATTGGTTAAAATGGAGACTACAGGCAATGTGATCATGTTTTAGAGAATTTCTGATTTAATGCAGTTAAGCACAGTATGGGTTGTTCTTACTCAGCACAAAAGTATCGGCTCCCCATTGACAACACCTGTGCTTTAGCACTGAGAACAAGGTAGAAATTTATGCATAAGTCATTTGTTTCATACTTTTACTTTTCTTTGCTCTTTCTTTACACTATTTAAAAGAATAAATAATAAAAAGTAATAAATCTTCAGCTCAATTTGTGGTAGTGTACAGGTTGCAAGACACAAGCATCTTGCAGAATATTTAAGGAATTATGACTCTACATTTTGCAACAAGGTAAGTGTTACTACCTTCAACTTAACAGATGGTGAAACAGATCTGGAGAAATGAAAACTACTTAACATTTCACATCATGAGCTTCTGAGACAGCATAGACTGCAGCTGACTTCTGCCTCTTAGATCTTATTCTAGAAGTTTCACTATGGTCTGCCATTTATCTTACCTCTTTTTCCACCTAAATATGTCTTAACTTGCATCTAGAAACTAGTTGAGGGACTAATATTATCTTAAATACTCCATTCATAGCTTCTGCAATGTATGCGATTACCATGTATTTTTGTACTATCTCAGCTGAGGCTCTGTATTGTCCATTTTCCTGAGCACAAAATCTTTCAGCTCATATAGGACATATACGCTCCATTTAATGAACTGCTATTTTCTTATATATTGTACAAAAAGCTTCATTGTATGGCTTCATTTTTCTGTTAGCTAGTTTGATTATTTCTCTTTTTGTCAGTAAAAGAATCTATTTCAAAAGGCAATTAAAAACATTCCTCCATGGAGTTCACATTTTTGCAATAACAAAAAAAGTCATTCATGCACAACAAAAGATACCTCTAGAGTTCTGTGCAGGGTGGTGGGATTATGAATGAAGAACAGACAGATTGTAAAACAAGTCTTTGAAACTAGAGAATAGAAACCTAAGCAAGCAGCCGAGGAGGCACTGACACAGAGGGAATAACTGGAAGAACAGTACTGCAAAGTACTGGTATAAAAGACAAGAAAAGAAGTGGATCCTGTTAGCTATACAACACTATGGATAATATAAGCTGGCACTGAAGTGCTCACAGCTAGTTTCTAAAATCCTGGCACTGAAGGCCCCAAACTGCTTTACTTAAAAGGGAAGGAAGCCTGGAAATAGATAAAATGCTGTAACTGTTACTGAAACACCAGTGAACAAGATCTGTTTGTAAGTGTATGGATAGCCTGGAAATACATCAGGACACACAGTACAGCAGTCTGAGAGACAGTAAAGTTGCAGATGAAAAAACCCAGCTTTGGCAACTGTATCTGTTATTTTAATCTTGCTATTTAGAGGAATAAGTCAGAGTTTTACCACTTGAAAAGTTTTTTGCACAGGAGTGCTTCAGGGCCTAAACTGAGCTTTGAGGGGAGTGAACTATTCCC